GCCCACCTGAAGTTCAAAATCTGCTTAAAAAATTTCCCACAATTTGCCAAGTTTCTAGGGAATTGCCACCAGCTCGTGCCCAAGACCATGCTGTAGTGATCAAGCCAGGGGAGCAACGTCCAAATTTACGACCCCATAGAAACCCACACTTGCAAAAGAATGAGATTGAAGGCATGATAAGAGATATGCTCAAGGCTGGAATTATTTAGCATAGTAACCGTCCTTATTCCAGCCCTGTGTTGTTGGTTAAAAAGAAAGATGGAAGCTGGAGGTTTTGTATAGATCACAGAGCATTGAATGAAATTATAGTTCCTGACAAGTTCCCTATCCCAGCTATCGATGAATTGTTGGATGAATTGAAAGGATCCACTATGTTTTCAAAGCTGGATCTGAAGCCGAGGTATCATCAAATTTGAGTCGAAGCTGGAGATGAGCATAAAACAGCTTTTCGAACCCATGAGGGACACTGAGTTTAAAGTCATGCCTTTTGGGCTTACCAACGCCCCCTCCACCTTTCAATCACTGATGAATGAGGTGTTTCGTGAGCATTTACGCAAATTTGTTTTTTTTTTATGACATCCTTGCGTACAGCAGTGATCTATCTACTCACTTGGGACACTTAGAAACTGTGTTAAATATTTTAAGAAAAAATCAGCTGGTGGTCAACTAGAAGAAATACAGTTTCATCCAACCAAGAGTTGAATATCTTGGTCATATTATCTCAGAAGAAGGCGTCCAAGCTGATCCCTTGAAGGTAGAAAGCATGGTGAAATGGCCACAACCCAAGAATGTGAAATCACTAAGGGATTTCTTAGGGCTGACCGGTTATTATCAAAGATTCATTAGAAACTATGGAAAAATAGCCAGCTTGCTCACTGATTTGCTCAAGAAGGATGCTTTCAAATGGACAACGGAAGCAACTACCACTTTTGAAAAACTCAAGATAGCCATGACTACCTTACCAGTGCTTACAATGCCTGATTTTTCAATCCCATTTGACCTGGAAACAGATGCATCTGGAACAAGGGTTGGTGCTGTATTGATGCAAAGAGGCAAACCCCTTGCTTATTATAGCCAAAAACTCTCAAGTAAAGCTCAACAATGCTCCGTTTATGAGAGAGAACTGATGGCAATTATTATGGCAGTCAAGAAATGGAGGCACTACTTATGGCGGCAGAAATTCAACATACGAACAGATCAGAAAGCCTTGAAGTACTTGCTAGAGCAGCGAGTATTGGAAGAGAATCAACAGAAATGGGTATCTAAACTTATGGGATTCAAATTTGAAATAACTTACAAACCAGGGAAGGAAATTAGAGCAGCTGATGCTCTCTCTAGACAGGAAGAATCCTTGGAAATGATGGGTTTTCAATGTGGCAATGTAATGATATGGAAGAATGGGAGGAAGTGCAAGCTGACCCCAAATTGAGCAAGATTATGCAACAGCTGATCACTAATCCAGCAGAAGCATAAGGGTACAGCCTGATAAAAGGGTGTTTACACTACAAAGGAAAATTAGTGCTGTCAAAAAATTCTGTACGTATACCATTGCTACTAAAGGAATATCATGACTCACCGGTGGGAGGACATTCAGGGTATTTACGTACTTATAAATGGCTGACCGATGTTGTTTATTGGGAAGGAATGAAGAAGGACACCCAACAATATGTTGCAAGGTGTGATATTTGTCAAAAGAATAAATACCAAGCTCTCACTCCCGCTGGACTCTTGCAACCATTACCCATTCCACAAAGAATATGGGAAGATATTAGTATGGATTTTATCACCAGGCTACCAAAATCCAAGAGGTATGACACTAGACTTGTGGTGGTGGATAGGTTTACCAAGTATGCTCATTTCCTACCATTATCTCACCCTTTTTCTGCTAAAGTTGTTGATGAAGTGTTTGTGAGTGAGATTGTGAAACTACACAGTTTTCCTAAAACCATAGTTTCTGATAGAGACAGGGTGTTTGTAAGCCAATTTTGGCACGAATTATTTAAGCAAGCCGGCACCCAACTTTGCCTCAGTTCAGCCTATCATCCTGAGTCAGACGGCCAAACAAAGGCGCTAAATAGAGGATTGGAGACTTATTTAAGATGTTTTGTGAATGAGAAGCCAAGTCAATGGATTCATTGGTTATCATGGGCAGAAATTGTTACAATACTTCTTATCACAGTGCAGCAGGAATGACTCCTTTTAAAGCACTCTATGGTAGGGACACTCCCACATTCCTCAAGCTCCATGAAGAATCCTCTGCAATAGAGGAAGTTAATGAGTAGATTCAGATGCGAAATCAGGTTGTTACAACCTTAAAAGATAACCTCACAGTGGCGCAGAAAAAGATGAGGTAGCAAGCAAACAAGCACCGCCGAGACCTACAGTTGGAACTTAATGATATGGTTTATGTTAAAATTACACCCTATCGATTGAAAAGTCTAGCTCACAGAGTCAATGAAAAATTGAGTCCTCGTTTCTATGGACCATTTCAAGGTTATTGGGAAGGTGGGACAAGTTGCATGCCGGCTGGAACTTCCTCCAACAGCTAGAATTCACCCTGTTTTTCATGTTTCTCAACTTAAAAAATCTTTGCAATCTGCTGCTGTTAACCCCACTATTCCACCAGCACTTTCTGATGAGTTCGAACTCCAAGTGCAACCTCAAGAAGTTCGCAAAGTCAAAACTCTTATGAATGAATAGCGAGAGATCCTTGTGAAGTGGAAGGATTTACCCGAATTTGAGAACTCTTGGGAATTGGTTAACACCATCTCAATGCAATTTCCAAATTTTCCCCTTGAGGACAAGGTGAAGCTTTTAAGGGCGGGTAATGATAGAGCTGGAAAATTTATCAAAACATATGAGAGGAAATTGAGGCAGAGACAAGGGTCAGAGAGAAAAGATCCAGCAGTTTAAGGTTATTATACTTAGGGTCCTGATAATAGGGAGTAAGTAATGATGCCTGTAGAGTGGCTATAGACTCAGCGTAGAAGCTAGAGTTACTTTTGGGTTGCTTTAATATTTTACTTTGTTTTGGGAGGGACTCATTCAGAATGTTTTAGAGAGAAGATACAAGTGAGGAGAGTCTTGGTCTCTCGAAAAACCAGCGAGGGGCTGTTTCAGCATTGTGTTCTTGCATTCTTAGTACTGATCAGGGAATAAGGTTTTGGCCAGAATTAGTGGAGGTTATTTTGTAACACTGATTTGGTTATTCCGTCATTAATAGCAAAATCTCAGCATTTTCCGTCATTAATTGCTTGTCTTATAGTTTTCTGTTGTTGTGCATTTAATTTTAGAGTTGGGTTCTATCAAACTCCAAAGGTAGAAATAAAATTACTAAGCAGGAAGAGATCTTGTACCAAGGAGTCTGAAATAAAATTATGAGTGGATCCACTATCCACTAATAATAATACTTCGCAATTGCCTAACTTTCCCTTAAGCTTCATCACAGAACCAGTGTTACTTCCCAGGATTGCATTTAAAGAGATTTCGGCTCCTTCAAAATTATTTTCTTCAACTCCAGTATCCTCAAGGGGGGCATCAATTCTTCGCCTTCTTCAATGATTTCCATAAGCGAGAAGGAGCTTCTGTAGTGATGCCTAGGCCTGAACGTATCCCCACAACGAAAACACAAGCCTATCTCTCTTCTCATCTATTGTTCAACATCACTAGACGAGTTTCTGGGCAACGTAGAAGTTGTGGGTCTAAGCACAGAGGAAGACAACGCTGCTGGTTTGTGCATACTCGTTGAAGAGGATGTCACAAAATACTTCTCATCTCATGCGAGAGGGGTCGATGTACGGCTAAACCTGTTTTGGGTCTAGAAAAAATTTGGCTCGAGTCTTTCATGGATGCATCTTGCCTTCAAACTCTAGGGCAAGACTCATTGCTTGATAAACTGATTTTGGTTTGTGGATACACATGTTGGCTCACAACTCTTCACACAATCCATTCAGAAATACCCAAGCAAGCAGTGTTCAGGACAGTGTTTAACACGGGTTAGACCATTTGGCAAACTCCTGGCAATAATCATGCATTGAGCCCTCTTGTTTGATACTATACAGGTACTCATCGAGATTTAAGTATTCTGGGGGTCTGAAATTTTCTCGTAAAACTGTAACAAGTTCATCCCAGTAGTGCAGCATTCTCTCATGCTTGATCCAGGCGAATAGATCAAGGGCATCTCCTTCTAGAGCCATCAACGCTACATCCACCTTGTCTTCCTTAGCTATGTCATAATATTTAAAATATCTTTCTGCTTTTAAAAACCACCCTCATGATACCAAATTGGTAAGTGCTCAAAATAACAAAAGGAAATAAATCTATTAAAATGATATAAAACAAAAATCTCGTTTTATATTTCTCTCAATAGCCACGCTTAGAGGATCTTCAAAGGGTTTAAAGACTATTCATTAATGACATGCTAGCTTTTGAGTTGCAAGTCATATTTATAAAGCCAAATACGATCAAAAATATTAAATGAAATCTAGATAACTAGATAGTGGAATAAATTATCCTAAAATCCATATCTAAATAAAATAAAATACTGAATAAAAAATAAATATCTAAATATCTTGAGACCTATCCTAAAATATTCCTAAATCAAAAATTAAATAAAACTAAATTTATCTTAATTTATCTTCTGATGCTTCCTTCTTGAATAAGCCTTTAAATGCATATTATCTGGGATCTTATCACAACTTTTGCTTGAGCTGACTTAACTAATCATTCTCTAAACCAACAGTTCTAAGAGCCATACTTTTTTCTTAATGAACATCATATCACATGAAGGAATGGTCCAATTTGGAATACAGCAAAACTCTAAGTGTCATGTCATCACATTGATATTGAAAAGAAACTGCAAGAATAATCACATGCTTTATCATGATGTTCATTACATATTCTTAAATAGTGAGATATTATAAGAAGACATAGTAAATCAACCATACAAGGAAGCTGCTGCACAAGGATAATCACTAACAAACAATAGTAGCTGTTCAAACCTCAATTGCTTCATATAATCCAGGGATTGTTGATATGTCACCGCCAACAACTTTTAGGGTAAAATCCAAATTTTTCTGCAAGTGAATTTGTTTTTAAATGATTAAATATTGCAGAAGCATGTGAATGCTCTTGATGCTTTGATGGAAAAATGAGATAGGAATAAGGATGTAATTCTAGCGTGCACCAAACAATGTCAAAATAGGACACTGAGTACCCCTTGTGTTGGTGAATTTGTGCACTATGATAGAGAGAGAGTGAAAGGAAATATACAGACTTCTGTCTTGCAAATGGAAAAATTGAACTCAACCTCTAGCTGCAGTGGGATTTAAATCTACTTAGGAAGGATTCAACAATGCAGCTAAGGATTAGATATCTATCAGTCCTTGGCAGATTCATATTCACACCTAAGAGTAGGCATGAATGCCAAAGTATAAATTATAAGAAAGGGTGCTTTGTTTCAAATAACATAGAAAATTAATAAAATTCTCGAGGACCATATGATGTTCATTGTTCAAAAAATTTAAGGATTAGCATAAGTGATAATCTATAATCCATGTAACCCCACTAAATTTATCGTCTCTTGGGTTCAATCTGGGGTGGCTACTGACTCTACTAAAGCATTTGTTAGCTGCTTTGTATTGTTTTTGGTACCATTTGGATATTACCCAGGTGTTGTTCAGAATCATTTTGGTATTGTTTGTTTAAGCACTCTTTTGGCTTTGAATTGTGAGTTTGTGTTGCTAATGCTATTTTGTGACCATACATGGAAGTTTGTATCGTGAATAACTGAATGCGTTCTTTTGATTAATCAGGTATGGCAAAACTAGAGGTGGAACTAGAGGTGGAGGCATGACATGTGAAAGGTGTAAAAGAGACTTGGGTTACCTATAGTGTGATTTATGGCACCAAAATAAATCATCCATTTAGATGCAGATACGACACACTTAGTGGAGTTACCTGATACCACAATAGTACCAACAGAAGTAGTGAATCTGCTTGCAGGCAAGGTTATTGAATACAAGTAGGTGTCTGCTATGAAGATTAATTCTGATGGAACTACAGCTCATCTTGAAGTTTAGCTGGTCACTAAGAGTTATGCTCAGACTTATTTCGTTGATTACTAACAATTTCTCTATAGTAGCAACATTTGCCTTTGTTCAGCTCGTTATCTCCATGGCCACTACTTATGATTAGCCCTTATACCAATTAAATATCACGAACACATTCCCACCTGGTGATCATTTACATGGAGCAACCACCAAGGTTTGTTTCTTAAGGAAGTGCGGGAAAGCTTTTCACCTTCATAAATCTGAGTTGGAAAAAGCCCACGAACTTGGCTTGGCAGATTCAATGATGCAACTCTCAAGTTTCAGATGAATGAAACTAAGTGTGATTATTCAGTGTTCTAAAGCTAGCATTATCCTACTTGTGTACATCAGTAATATTGTAATTATTGAGAATGATGACAATTTGGGCATTTCATCACTCAACCTGTGTTCATTCTCAGCTCCAAACAAGGAACAAGAAAGGTATACTTCTAACTTAAAAAAAAAAGAAATGTTCTCCATTCAAGTCCACCAGCAGGACTCTATTAGAACTTATAGTCAACAACAACAATAACAACAACAACAAGCCTTTATCCCACTAGGTGGGGTCGGCTTTAGAACTTATAGTCAAGTAATTGATAATTGATAATGAATTTACAAATGTTACAAATAGTTTGATTTTAAAAATGAGGGTGAAACAGAGAAAAGTGCAAGCCAAGCTCAGCTAAAAAAATAAAAATAAGAAATGCCAATGTCAGTTAGATCTGAAATCCTAATACACTTGTAGATGCACTAAAACAAGTAGGAATGATCACATTAGAAAGAGATAAGATACCTTCTGCCTTAAAGAGAAACAAACAGCTCCAAAGCCAGGAAATTCATCAACTAGTGGCTTAAAAATCAATCTGAAAATGCCTGTAAATCCAATATTCTTCACCTGAACAGGGGAGGGTACAAGACAGCAAAATCAACTATAGTCATTATAGGAATAAAGCTAACCAACAGAATGTTAGTTATGCACAAACAGTCAATGCCAGCATTCAGAAAGAGTTCGATATCAGTCAGTTCCATCATTATTTAAGCAATTGAACAATTATAGAAAAGGTAAAAGATATGAAACCCCTGATTTGGTAATCTACTATGCACTAGCAAAAGAGATAACAAGAGTCAAAAATTTGTAACTCTTGCTGTCCAGAAGTAGGCAGCATAATCATTAAAGATTCAGCAAAGAGAGAACACAATAATGCTGAATTTTCAGTCAAAGCCGAACACTGATCACATTGTGAAGCCAGTAGACAAAAATTCTACACTTTCAGACAATGTCTACAAAATGCAAAATAGTGATCGCACCATTAAGCTGCATTATATTTTCTACTTCCCAAACTCTCGTCCTATAGAAAATCAGATCTTAACTGATTTTTCCCCTATTGCAACCAACTTCTTATTGAACTAAAATCAGATTTAAAGAAAGAATGCTCAATTTGATTGTTACTTTCAATATTAAGAATAGAGCCCACAAAACAATGCATATTAAGATTTTGATTCAGCCCAACACAAGAAAAATGAATAGTTCAACATCCACATAATTTATCAATTTTGTAATCATGAATGGATTTGAATGGTCTGGTTTAAATTATTATGAACCAAACTTGAGAGGTTCAAGACTTAAAATAGTTAGATTTAGTTATATAAAAAAATAAAAAAAGGACAATTCTTGGCACTTTTACATGGAAATTCGGACATGAAGGAGACTAATGACTTAACCCTAATCAACAGCAAAAGCAACTAGACCATTTGAAGGAAATCAAATAGCTACTACTAAAACAAGGTTCAGACATTAAGTAAGTTGTATACCTGCACTGGAAGTGAAACACCAACTAGAGTCTTAATATCAAGTATAATACTTGGATTCCCATCCCACTGCATTTCCATTTCCATTGTAACACCACTCCCTCCATCCTCAATTATAGAGAACCCTAGAGATCAACGTCAACAAATGAAATGTGTCAATAAAATGTAAAACACTATCCGGCAAAAGCTTAAGGACGGATTCCTTAACAGGGAAAATTAGGAACACAGTAACGTGACAAGAGAAAATACATGAACCTTATCATATTTTTATTAAGCAGGCATGGACGAACAACCTAATATACAAACTTTCTAGTTTTCAGTTTTATATCTTACAAGTTGAACGAGCAACTCCACGAGTGAATAACCAGAAGAGAAATAAATGGCAAGCAGAATAAGATGATTTAGACAGATTCCATCAAATGTCAAGAAAACACCCAAAATGAATCTAATCCCTATTTGATCGTTCTATTAAACTACTCAACCCCATCAGTAATTAATTGACAGATATTTTAGATCATATAATAAAGCTTTTTTAACCCAACGTAAGAATCAAAAGGCAAGGAAATGAAAGCAAACACGAATTATGACTGTTAGCATACATGTCTCTCTAGGTATTCTTTAAATTAAAAGGAAAGGGAGATGACAAGGATCACAAGTGGAATTACAGGAAGAATCAACAACAACAAGCCTTTATCCCACTAGGCGGGGTCAGCTACATGAATTGCAAGACACCATTGTGCTCTACCAATTACAGAAAGAATCAATTGATTAAAATCCAAATTCATTTAATTCAATCAATGAACTCAACTGACCTGTAAACTGGGGTGCTACAGTACCAAGAGTGAGCTTGGAAAATTTCAGCGACGCCAAAATAATGGGTCTATATTGTTCAAGAACGGGTTCCACCGATGTCTTTATTAGCTCAGAGGCAGCCTGAAATTTCGATGTTAGGAAATTCTAATCATTTTCACGAAAAATAAGACTAAACTCTTGATTATTTGAACCCATCAAAGTTACCTCGTTAACATAGGGCCAGATCTTTGTAAGATGATTGTTAAGCCAAGTTACCTGAAGAAAAGAAAATCGGAACGTCAATCCAGTGAAAACCATCAAAAAATAATGCATTAAAATTAAAAAAAGGGGAAGGAGCAGAAGAAGTGCAAAACAGTGAACAAGGAGTATTGAAGAGAGCTGAGCTCAACTTCTGCCTCTGAGAGAAGACGACCCAAGAAGGGTAGTACTGAGGAGGTAAGATCTTTCTGGAATCTTCCACCGTCATCCTCGCAAAAGTGGCAACCGTCGCTGCCAGCTCAGACCGGCGCAGGGACCGCACATTCTCGCACTTGACGAACCCTACAATCACGGCAAGTCCCACAACTATTCCGAGCAAGAGGCCGAAAAAGAAAGCCATTTTCCCTTTGCCGGTAGAAGCAGAGGCTGTGACTGTGAATGTGAAATGTGAGCGACGTGAAAGCTTGAAGGAAAGTGTGATGGAGATTTGACGGGATTCGGATAAATGTAAGTGTCGAAGTGAAGCTACAAATTTCACTACTTTCAGAGGATCACAAGGCTTCAACTGGTAGATAGGAAGTTGACTAAGCGGTAATGAATGCGTTATGCTCAACAAAATTATACTTTACCAGCTTTTTCAAATGCCGGAATTCCGCGAGGCGCTCGGACTTCTTTATTATTATTATTATTATTATTATTATTAGTATTAGCATTATTGTTTTTAATTTTAATTTTGCCGACATGATCAGAACGTTGACATTTTCGGGCAACTTCATGATAATTGATAGGCATGGATATTCTTTGACCATCATTCCTGTGGTCTTGTGTGCGGGGGCAAAGTATAGTGGGTCAGTGGCGGAGCCAAGGCAATTGTGGGAGGCCAATTTTATTGTGTATTCAGATCAAGTCAGTTGAACTTTTGCCATTAATTAAAAAATTTATAACATAATTGATAAAATTTTTAAGATAATAAATCATATATAAACGTAAAAAATCAAAAGAAAAAATATCATCTTTATGATTATCAATATATTAGCATTGAAAATTTGAATAATAAAATTTTGCCAAAAATTCAAAAAAAAAAGTTTTGCAAAGAATATATAAAAAGGAAAAACTTCATTATAAAAAAGGAAAAACTTCATTATAATAAAGGAAAAACTTAAGGCCAGTTTGGAACTATTTTTTGTTTTATTACTTTGAGAACTGATATTTATAAAATATGTTTTGAGAACAAACAAAATAATAAAAATAGTTGTTTTTCTCATTTTTTTTATTTTTCAGAACAGATAATCCTAGAATACCTAAAAGACATTTCCGTTTTTCTATTCTTTAAACTAATATTTATTTTTTTTATTTTTTAAAATATTTTTTGAAAACACATTACCAAACAGAATTTTTATTTTTTTAGTCTAGAGAAAAAAATTGTTCCCAAAATAAATTGCCCTACAAGTCTTTATATACTTAATATGGTTGTTTTAAATTAAATAAAGACATGTGCATTCTTTATAAATTTATGTATTTGATAACAAAACTCTTGTTATTAATATTTTAACATATTTAATTCAATTATTTTGATTTAATTAGATAAAAATATATTGAGTATATGAGGCTAAATATCTAAGTATTGTCCTATAAAAAATTCATAATTATAATTTAGAAAAATAGTTGAAGATAAAAATTAAATAATAGTAATGATGTAGTGGTAGTAGTGGTGGTGGTTAGTAGTGGTAGTAGTGGTAGTGGTGGTGGTGGTGGTGGTGGTAGTGGTGGTAGTCGTAGTAGTGGTAGTAGTCGTAGTAGTAGTCGTAGTAGTCGTAGTAATGGTAGTAGTAGTAATATCTAAGTATTGTCCTATAAAAAATTCATAATTTTATAATTTAGAAAAATAGTTGAAGATAAAAATTAAATAATATTAGTGTAGTAGTGGTAGTAGTGGTGGTGGTAGTAGTGGTAGTAGTGGTAGTGGTGGTGGTGGTGGTGGGGAGGGGTGGTGGTCGGAGTAGTTGGTAGTAGTGGTAGGCGTAGTCGTAGTGGTCGTGGTAGTGGTAGTAGTAGTAGTAGTGGTGGTAGTAGTAGTGGTAGTGGGTAGTGGTGGTGGTGTGGTGGTGGTGGTGGGTAGTGGTGGTAGTAGTGGTAGTAGTCGTGGTAGTTAGTAGTCGTACGTCGTAGTAGTCGTTCGTGTAGTAGTCGTAGTGGTGGTAGGAGTAGTAGTGGTGGTAGTAGTAGTGGTCGTAGTGGTGGGTGGTGGTGGGAGTAGTAGTAGTCGTCGTAGTCGTGGTCGTAGTAGTCGTGGTGTAGTAGTGGTGGTGGTCGGTGGGGTGGTCGTGGTGGTGGGGTGTAGTGGTAGTCTGGTAGTAGTGGTGGTAATGGTGGTGGTGGGTAGTAGGTTGGTGGTTTAGTAGTGGTGGTAGGGAGTAGTAGTGGTAATAGTCAATACTAATAATAATAATAATATATTCCATATTTTTATTGCTATTACCTATAGGCCCTTTATGGTATGCAAGCCTGAATTTGAAAGGATTGGGATTAGCACTAAGACTGAAATTGAGATTGGAATTGAAAGTGGGATTAGAGCTTTAAAATTATGTTTGATACAGAGTAATAATTGTAAAGAATACTTTCCTTCATTTTATTTCATAATTGGTAGTAGTGGTAGTAGTGGTGGTAATGTGGTGGTGGTAGTTAGTGGTTGGTAGTAGTAGTGGTGGGAGTAGTAGGAGTAGTAGTAAGGTAATAATAATAATAATAATAATATATTCATAGTTTTATTTGCTATTACCTATAGGCCCTTTATGGTATGCAAGCCTAATTTGAAAGGATTGGGATTAGCACTAAGACTGAAATTGAGATTGGAATTGAAAGTGGGATTAGAGCTTTAAAATTATGTTTGATACAGAGTAATAATTGTAAAGAATACTTTCCTTCATTTTATTTCATAATTAACATAAATTATAAAAAGACTATAATACCCCTTTATAATTTAAAAAAATTACCAAAACCCATCTCTCTATCACTCACGAATCGACCCCAACCTCCCCCTACCACCTATCACCCTATTCATCGTCATAGAATTGGAAGCAAATCCAGCAACTTCTCATATGTGATAGATCTCAAAGATTCGAAGGCAAACACAATGACCTTGTTCAACGCAGATTCAAAGGCAAGAAGGTGAGTAGATGTGAGGAGATATAGTGTTGGAGGACTGCGGGAGGTAGACAGAGGGAGAAGGGAGGAAGATGAAGGGAGAAGACTCGAACTGGTAGTGGATGACAGCGGGAGGTAGACAGAAAGAGAGGGGAGGAAGACGAAGGGAGAATGGTGCCTATGGTGGAAGGCAAAAGGAAGACAAAAGGAGACGAAGGAAGATGAAGGGAGAATGGATGAAGGTATACAAAAAGAGTAGGGAGGAAGACGAACCTGTCAATGGTGGAGGACAGTGCCAATGCCAGGGACGGCTATGGCAGACTCAATTGAGTGAGAGAATGGTGAAGGATGACGTTAGAGGCGAAGGTAGAGAGATAGGAGAGTGGGTGTGAGAATGAGGATAATTTGGTTTAAAAAAATCAATCCTAAGATTGATTTCCCAATACCAAGGGTGGTGGGATTGGGTAATCCCATGTAGATGGAATTGGACTTAAGATTAAATTTCCCAATGCTCTATACCAAGCACAAAAAGCTAGTACTAGCTAGTGCTAATGCTAGTCCCATCTCTCCAATCCTTTATACCAAACAGGACTATAGAGATAAAGAAAGGTAAATAATAATAATTGATATTGAAGTAGAGATTTGTTTTATTAAGTGAAAAGACAATATGAACAGCCAGTAGGTGCAAGAACTAAGGAATACAAATGAAAATATTAAGATAAAAGTTAAAATTGAAAATTCAAGGGTTAAAACTATAATTTTCTCCTTTAGAAAACCATACCTCATTACATTTAGTAAAAAAAAAAATTAAATAAAATCTAGGGGGCCACAGCCCCCTCTAAGGGTGACCCTTGGTCCACCCCTATAGTTGGTAGCCTTTTTGTTTTTTAGTATGTTTTTTGGTATTAGTCTCTCTATATTTTTTTCATTGTATTTTTTAAAATTTATTTATCTACAACCTTATTTTTTAGATTTTTAAATATGACTACAAGTCTTAATAGTGGCTAATCTATGCATAAACTATGTTATTTATTGTGTGTTGACTTGTTAAAATTATGATGAGTTGTATAAAAATTAAGTAAAAGGTAAAAAAATAGGATTTTAAATCAAATGATCAAGGTATAAATATGCCCTTGAAGTTTTTACACAGACACCCTTATTGTCCTTAACCCTCCTTGGTTAGAGGAGAGAGGAGGTTAAAGTTTTCCCTTCCCTCCCCTCCAAAACCTCCCCCCAAATAGGGGGACTCCCTTCACGTCCAACAAAACATAGTGAGTGTTTTTGGGCACAATGCCATCCCTAACATTTTCTCAATCTTTATATCTCAAACATTTTTCAATTTGGTACAATGTTATTATGTTGTTAGGGTTTGACTATATCGATCATTAATGGATTCATTTATGCTCACATGACATGCTTAGGTGGCTTCCACATCACTTTCTTTTCTCTAATTAAAATTGTGTTCCCTTTCTTCATGATATACCCCCCTTTCTCTTTAGTCTTCCCTTCAAGGCTTTAGTGATTTCTTTGCTACCATCCCTCAATTTTCTTTTAGTGATTTCTCCACAACATATGTCTATAATGAACTTGTATATTGTAACATCCTAATTTTAATGTTTAAATAAATTGTAGAAATTAAGATGTTACTGAGGATTTAAATTTAGAAGTGATATTATTTTGAGATCTAATTTGATGAATGAATTTATATTTGAGGTTAATCTAGTGTTTAGGCACATAATTATGTTTGAATTTGGGCCTAGAATGATATATTAGGATTAAATAGGGTCCAAAATAAGTTTGGAACAAATGGGGCCCAATTACTTGACTTAAGTTAGGGGCCCAAATCTATGCCATGCACTATGGCATATGGCCAAAAATTTAAATATGTCGTTCTATTGAATGACAAATAGAGAGGGAGTAGAGTTGAGAGCATGTAGTGCCAAAATATTGTGGCTCTGCTAGGATTTTGGTCTCTCGACCAATTGAGCTCGATTTTGTGACTTTAGAGGTTTAAGGTAATGACTCTAACCTTTCTTCTACCTAGTAATCTCCATTTCTAACTAGATTGTCATGAGTGAGTTAGGGTTTTCATTTTTGGAGGTGGTTAGTCTATGGGCTTGAATTTAAAAGATTGTCTGAAATTAAATAAGTGTAGTTTAAGTTGTTTTAATGATGTTTATAACAATGGGTAGCTTGACTCTGAAACCTTATGCTTGATGGATGAACTTTATTGATAATTGGGTGTAGTTGAGGTTAAATAAGGATGATATAAATGTGATGATGATGATGATGATTATGAGTCAATTTGAGGGATTAATTGGTTGTGACAGCTATGGGTTAATTAGATTAATTAACCTAACCCTAGGATTAGGATGTGATTAATGTGTAGACACTTTGATTAGCCATGATTAGCATTGTATTAACAATAATTAGTGTTACATTTTTTATAGGTCATGATATT